AACCATTTGTATCAGTTCCCTTCCTTTCCCATGCTGTACAGATACTTGTGCCGCTAGTGGAGCAAATCGCGCCCTGCGGGGTTGTGGATCCCTCTGCAACGTCATCCAGCGATTCTCTTCTCTTGAATAAACAACCCGCCGGAAGCGGAAAAAGAAGCCATAGCCAATGAAAAGACAACCGGATGTCAAAGAGGTCATTCCACTGGAAGATATTTATATGTTTTCGACGGTTCCGTTTTCGGAAAGGGTGATTTTTTTCCCAGATATATACAGTTCGGGGGTGGGTTTATTTATTCATACGCTCCGCGATCTTTTCGGATATTCGTCGTGATCGCTGGACCGAAAAGAAAAATGGAATTGTGCGTAGAGCGGCAGGGTTTTTATTCGAAATCAACCACCATTTTTCTCACGAATTACATCGGGAGGTGGCTGCTTTGTTCGAGATTATTGACAGAGAAATTGTTGGAATAAATCTCTCTTTGTGTGTTTTGACTGGTCGTTTATTGAAACCATTAACATAACAAATAATATATACCACAATACTCTTAAGTACAGTCTCTATTTTGGACCTATATGCCATTTATATAGAGTTATACAATATAATTAATATAGATAACAGAATTTTTTTATTGATACATAAACAAAATCCTTCAAAAATCTATAATAAAGACACAAATATAGTATCTAAATCACGTTGAATGTCATTTTGTGAACCCCCAAAAGATAAATATTTATAAAAAGAGTCTAACCATAAATATTAATTTTCTCATCCCACCTCATTCCCACAGCGAATCCATACATCTATCAGCAAACTCCACTTGTCGACACCCTAATCCCGTCGAAATTCCCATAAATATCCACTATCCTAATGAACACGTAATCTCACTATCTTCTAATTACGCTTATGGCTGCTACGGGCGCAGGATTTCGCCTATGGCAAATCCAGATTTATTCTCTCAAAGCCGGTACCCGCATCTGATACCCGGGGCTGCCCCCGCTTGTCCCTTTTATATTCTGATATGTGTCATTATCTGCTTCTATTATCGAATCAACGTTTAGCGTCGTTTTTTATTGGACATAGAGGCTACCGTTAGGGCGCGCTTAATTAATCCTTTTTGAAACGGAGGTATAAAAAAATAGGAGAAGCGGCTCTAATTACGCTCAATTAAAAGTCTTCTCTGTTGATGTGACTCCACATTAGGTGTACAAAACAGATTAGATCTCTTGTCTGTGTACATTTTACAATTACTTTTCATCATTTTTAGATGGATATTTTATTATAAAAGTGTGTGTATGAGTCCAATAGATGAGATGCCTATGATGAAATAAAATAAAAAAGTTATAAATTATTGAATATCTAGCACACTAAATTGATTATTCCTAGGTTAAATATGAAAAGGTATAAATAGTTCAATATTGATATAGTATACCTACTTGACTTAGTTCATTGGACGCCGTCGGATTAATTTAACGAAAAATAGTATAGTTATATCTGATGAGGTAGAGAAAATAAAAATGTGAATTTAATCGAAAACCAAGCGATATTGCCACAATACATATGCTTAAACCAAATTACTGACATTACGCAAAACGTGGAACAATAGTAATTCTTGTTTCTCTGTTGTTAATTAAGTAGGTAAGTTATAATTATTTTGACGCTACGATTTTCTTTTAAAACGATAAATTTTCAATAATATCACAACACTTTACTCAAAGAGCAAACACTAACTTGCTGACCACGGCAATTTCACCCGATAACGGCCATTTGAAACACGAAAACAAAGCCATACATCACAAAAGTCACAGGGATTAGTACAAAAACACTGAAATCACAATAATGCTTTTTTTCGTGATTTTCTCTTACAATACGATATAAAATTATTAAAATGCTAATAAATCGTTGCCTTAACAATGAAAAGAATAGTTGTGTTTCGATTATTTCACTTAAAAATAAATTAATTATGCTTCTAATGGCCAATTCTTGGTCGCTAAAACTAAAGAATATAACCACTCGCTCTGTTGGTAAAGAAGGCAATCAAAGACAGTCTTCGATCGAAACAGGTATCTCAAATTTAAGTTTTATTTAGAAACCGTACGGCCATCTGTTCAGTTTCATACGAACTGAATAGTAGTTTTATTTCTTTTTATTAAGATACACCGCAATATAGTACAGTCAAATCAAGTTTTAATTGAATTAAAATTAATTTTAAATCATATATTTACAAATCATTCGTTCATATTATACCATTAATTTGAAATTATTGGATTCAGCAATTTAAATTGGTAGATACAAATACAATTTTGTGCAACAAATGAGTATTACCATTGGAGCTTTTGACATTTATTTCCAAATTAAAAAGCACATTAATTTATAATTACCCATCAGTTAAATAAACGGACACTTTGAGTATAGATAAAATAAAATGAACACGGTAAAAAAGTATCAACGCAAGGGATGGTTTTAACTGGATTAAATGGAATCGATTGGAGCTTTATATGACTTTACGTTCTTCTACAATGTGACTTTATTTACTTCGATGAATAAAGCTCTATCAACGTCCGATTTATAACTGCGGTAACCGGACATGGTATGTGCGAAAAACATGAAAATTCATCGCAAATGACGTTAATAAAAGTGTAAACGCAAACGATAAATTTTCCAACGTTGATGGTCGATTTATATTTCTGCAGGATGGGTAAAGTAAAATGAATCCATTAAAATTTATGCGAATAAAATATTACTAAATATCACAGAATCCACTAGTAGAGTAAGAACTACTCATAAATACATTACTATCACGATTATTCTTCTTCGTCTCGGACGTCTGCAAAGCCCCTGCTGACGAAACATAAAAAAGAAAATGAAGTCAAAGGAAATGTCATGGTCTTTTAGGGCATGTTAGGGAAGAATATAACCATCATTTGTATTACACAACGAACAACAGCTTCTCCCTTTCACATCATATCCGAGTTTCGTGTTCGTTGGCTGTTTTCATTTTTAGAGAAACACGTATTAGCGTTAGTGCAGATTTACCACCGATATACAACCCTATAAAAACAAAGTGGATTTGCTTTGATAACATACCAAAAGTGTGTCAAAATTATGTACTCCCTAATAGTAAATGTATTTTATACTCATTAAACTTTATTTATTAACTTAATTTAGAAATTTCAATATCGTCACAATTTTATCAAGATAATATAAAATGTTAACGAAGCCGTAAAGTTAGTGATTAATTTTCTTAAATCGACACTTAACGGTACATAAAATAAAGGCATTAATGGGAATGGGGCATTAAGTCGGCGATAACACGACAACAAACTATTATAGACGTCTGAAAAATCTAAGCGAAAAGTCAAAAATCTCAAGAAATAGTAAATGCAGACGTAGCAGACAAGTTATAGGAATGCTGTAAATGGAATTTATTTTACGATGTCATAAAAGAAAATGTCTTGCCAACCGGCAGCAGCAGCTGAGATAACAAGTAATGATGTTGAATGAGTTACACTGAATGCTATTTTATCCTTGTTACCTATTACATATTCGTAACCAGGATTAAATACCTACGATCCCAGCTAAATTGAATTTTCCAAAATAAAGCAGGTTTTGGAATGGAATGAAGGCGTTTTGTACAGTTTGTCTCTATACGCAGTCCCTAAACTTTTTCTCTAAATCGTAAAACTGTATGAGAATAAGTTCATACAAAATATCATAAAAAATGGACTAATTTGCCTAATGGCAACATTTCTAATTCATTTAATAATATGTATTACAAATTTTATTAAAAAAGGTTGCTTTTTTTAATTTCCTTCTGTTTTCTTTGTTGGTACAATTTACTAGTTCATTATATCGATTCCTTCTATATAACAAAATGATCGAGTATTATTAAGGAAACACTGATTTTTTTTACATCAATAGATACAACCAAAAATCAGAACGTTTCTTAATTTCACATTACCAGTCAGCAGAGAGTATAGCAAAAAATAATCTACCCTTCCCAATGAAATTTCATCGCGTTTTATTATATTCAAAATACATATTCCCCTTTGTATGTTCGGCCGATCAAATAGGATTCCACTTCCAAACAAACAGTTTGCTAAAGAACAAAAAATAAACCACCAAGTTCTTCCAGGATATCTATCTATCCACTTGAATAGTTTTACGACCCCAATAACAATCCCATCCGCTATACATTGTACATTTTTGGCCATTTGTAACGTCAACCTTGGTGATGCGGTTGTTCCGCCGAAATTATTAAAGCATAAACATAAAAAAAAGGTTTGAATATTTTCTGTGACTAATATTTATTGCTTTCTAAATGGGGTATTACTAGGATCTGATTTTTTTAGGTAAGGACATCCAGCATTGTCTTGTCGTTTTTTACAATCCGACCTACCTTCAGCCTTTGACAAAGGGTTTATTTATTGAAGGAGACGAGTTGCAAATAAAAATAGGAATTTACTGTTGGTTTTTTGAGCTTTTTCGCACACTATCCGGTCAGTTCGTTAGGTGACCTGTGCGAATTTAGTGATAATTTGTTAAGAAAATTGTGTTTTAAATTCATGTAGGTACTAATATTTTACACATTTCTCCAGTATTTTTTGAGAATTTTTAATTTCTTGCCATGTTCCACGCTCTGTTACTTAGCTAATTATAATATGACGATAAATATTGAAATTGTGTTAATTTTTAAAGCATGCCACAGAAAGGAAGTTTCTTAGGTATTCATTCATTCGTACACAAACTTAAAATAAGGGAAGACACCGAATTCAACTGAAAGATCACGATTATTTTAGTTACGCTAAATGAATTTTAATCGCTATTCCCACAAAGGAGAATACATGAATTTTAATATTTGTTTACTTAATTTTGATAAAAGTACATATACCTAATTTTTAATTTTTTAAGGAAGTTTTTTATCAATTTTAATGGATATTCCCTAATACTACAACCAAGTTAAATTAAGCAATTTATAGGTTTAATTTAAATTTACCAGTGCTGTTACTTAAAATAGTATTTATTCATAAATTTATTGATTTTCAAATTACAACCAATTAAAGAACTAAAGCTCCCCATTTTCGATTTTTTCACAAATAACGTCGGTCAACGGAAATTTATAATAACCTTTGTTTTCTTGACAAAATGTGGAAGCAGGGCACAATAGGGAAATCGAGCAGAGTTCTGTACTGGAAATCTGTTGAACCATAAGCATATCATACACGATTGAGTAAATGACATTGTAGAAGAGCGGACACATGGGCCTAACATAAAAAGGAAACATCTTACACGCAAAATCCCCCATAGCAGTTATTTGTTCCTGAAAATAAAATATTATTTACATTTTCAACATTTAATATATGTCAGGTATTTCATGGTAAAATTTTAAATCTGATGCCCGTACGAATAAAAATTTAAGCTAAAAATGTATTCAAGAGTTCCTGGCTAACAGAAAACCTAATAAAAACCTATTTATAGTTCACCTAAATTATTTTTAACCTTGTAATAGTGCAATTTGCGTGTACAATGGCATACTGTAACACATTTAAACCTTCCACATTCTTATCATTCTTACACCTAATTGATTACTTCTGATCCATGAACTCATTGTTTTAACTTGAACGAATTATTTAGGTAGGTATTTTTAAAGCATATTAAATTTATTCAAATCCATTAAGCATTTTACCTTTATCCGTACATCCACTTAGAATTAGGGCTACTACAAAATCAACGAGGAGAAAATAAAAATGGACTTACAGAAGCATTTAATTAGGCATTTAATACCTATCGTAATCAAAAGACAAACGTTGCACAGATCAAAATTTTTAATGAAAGAATAAAGTGTAGAAAAAATTTATCTTATTATAAATGCGACACATCATTAACACAATTTGACTTCGACGCATATATCTTTGCTTTTCATATGTTGCACCATTAGTAAATCGTAAACGCTATCGTAAACGTCTTGAACGATTCCCGGACAAAGCGATCTAACAACTGCTGGTACTATCGAACATCCTAGTTCTCCTAAAGCAGTAATTTGTTCCTAAAAATAAAACATATGTCTAAATTTCTCCAGGCTAATTGCCATGCGACGATTGGTTTACCGTTATACATTCATTCCCATTGGCTTTACTTTTATTTTGTGTTGATCTATTTCGCAATACACTTATTAACACAACTGTATACGCTATTTTTATTCAATTCAAATGTATATAATATTTTGGATAATGTTTTAAAATGTAGTTATAAATCTAGGTACCACCTTTCAATTTTTGATCCAAACATAATATCGTCCTGGATACTTACATCTGAGATACCAATACTCAGTACATCAACGGCTAAATCTACTATAGTCATGCAATTATCGCACGTGTCAGTTGCAGATGCGTAAATAATGTTTGTTGCTAAAATTACATACAATTAATTTCCATAATTTAGTAATCTAATGAGCACTTCGTCGTGAAAAAGAGAAGTACATATAGGATTTTTCTACATATACGTACCTAGACAAAAAACGGCTAATAATAATGTGCACTTCATTTTTTACTTTTGTTTTTCTTTCAAATAAAATTGCAAGAGCAAACTAGATATAAGATATACCTGATTTTAACTAAAAAAATTATTTCATAAAAGCCTTTTTATCAGTATCAGTAAGCGGGGGTGGTCACTTATAATTAATTCCCGGCAATAACTTTTAATTAAACTACTTAATCGAACAATTAGCCATAAAAATAAAAGATTAATTAATTCATTATTCTACAATACTTTTTACATTCATAATAAAGTTTAACGATAATGGTGCATGTTTATAAGTTTCCCCATCCGTTTTTTCCGGATCTAATCAAAATTTTCAAATTTCTACGTCCCTGGACGGTTTCCACGTTGGCTCGTATCCATTGGCTGCCGGCGCTGCCGCTGCTTCGTCTTCGTAATTTAGTTAATGGTTCCCTGCAGCGCCCTCCCCGGTCATAAGTCTGCTCTTATAAGAAATAATGGCCGACTGTCACGCTTTCAACCCCGTAGGATGCCTGCTGTTGCACCCCCCAGAGCTGGGACGGGCCCCTTCCTCGCTCGCGGAGCCACCGGCCCGAGGAATGAAAAGAAACTTGTTTTCGATCCGGCCTGCAGATATTGAGATGTTACTACTGGAAGGGTTATTTGATGGTAACTTGCTCGGTTTAAGATAAATTAACTATAGGGAATTGACTATTTAAATTTTTTGATAGTAGATAACTCATTATTTTTTGAGGGATATAAATTTCTGGTTAGATATCCATCAACTCAAATCAATCTACATACAATTTCTTAAAGAAAAACTTTTTTCTTTCTTCTACATTTAGTTTTACTGTCTTAATTGAAACTAAATGTAAGAAATAATATTTAGGAATGATTTGGTTTGTATAACAGTTGACATAATATTATTAACAGTAGGTACATAAAACCAATAAATATTTTTTACAATTAACTTCAAAGGTTACTGTTTGGTTTCATATTCAATTTCACCCTTTATTACATAATATAATTTTCCTCACTAAGAAAATCAGTTATTTATTTGGAACATAAGTAATACCCCTAGTATTGAAATAAAATCAAACAGACGGCAAATAGACGAAACCATATCAAATCACACACTCCACCAAACAAAACCGACTCTTAAATAATTCATGACGAGTTTTTTAGCGAGCAATAACAAAACAATTTCGTTTCATCCGGCGATTCCCTCTTGACCTACATAATTCACAAAGAAAGTTCAGGTGATAATTCAGACCCGAGCAATGGATGTTGTACGCCATTAGCAAAAAATCCACATACCCTTCGTGAAAGCTTCATGAGAACCTTTAGAAATGTCTTACAAGATCATCAATCAGGCCGGTCCCTCCCTTAACATCTCAATGCTCTCTTTCTTGCGATATACCGCAGCCATTATCCATTAATCTTGCGGGGAGCCTTTGTGAGCGGTCCGTGAACCGTGAGCCATTCTAGAGATACTTTTAAATTGTAATTACGGGTTATGCATTTTAGGAATGTTCCTACCCTATTCGATTCGCTACGAAGCGAAAATGGGAGCTACTTATACTGAATGTCTGCCAAATGCGTATCAAAAGATTCGATATTAATTTAGCATTACCATTTTCTTACTATAGAATCAATGTTTATTCTAATTTCAATAAGAATGTTTTAGTCGAATAGGTATTTCAAAATTTTTCCCTTGAATTTTTTACGATATAATCAACGACTTCGAACGGTGTATGAATAACATTGAAAGCATCATGTTTTCAATAACGAGACTAAATATTCAATGGGCCACTCTGAGCGCTACTTGCGAGAAGATGGGCCATTCAATCCAGCATTGCCCATTCCGGTCTCTGTAAGGCCCATTTTCGCCGTAACATTGCTCGTTGTGTTCGACTCGATGGGGTTCCATGAGCGTAGAATGGAGGCGAGATTAGAGAAATACGCTTATTTTATTCGGTTTCTTACTTCGAATCGCCCTCGTTCGGGGGTATTTTCCTAATGTTTAGTGGCTATTTTTTCGGTGTGCAATGCTTTGGGTCGGGATTTGTTGGTTTCGTTTGAAAGGGGACGGTGTTGGTTCGCACGCCACTGGAAGTTGCATGATTATGTTATGAGTAGATCATAAAAGCTTGATGACTATTTGATGGTGGTTTAAGTAATTACGTCAGATTTTTATAACTCTACTTGTTGCTTTTGTACTAAGTATCTACCTACCCTTACAAATTAGGTATTTTTTATTGTTCCTCTTTGATCCGCTTCATTGTAGCTTCATCCGTTTATTACTCTTAAAAAAGGTATTTAATTAGAAGTCAGCAAATCATTTACTCTTCGAAAAAAAGCACATAACAAATCCTCCGAATCCAATCAAGTATCAACCCTTTTCAAGCCAGGAAATCCCGAAAATAAATTTATAAAATCTGTCACCGGTCTCTTCATTAACGTTAATAAAAAGCTATAGTGAGGCCGTTCGGTTTGTTTTATGTGCCGCAACAAGGTAGGTGGTCGTTGGGAGAAACACACACAGAGTAAATATATCTTGCCCTCGATCTGTGCTCTTCATTATTGCTTCATAATTCCTTCAGGAATGTGTTGAACGCGACGTGCGTGGAATGGCAATATCCTTGCCTTCTGCCCTTCATTCAATAATTACGAAATTCCGAAGGCGCATGCATACCTACTGTTGTTGCCCGTTGAAAACTTTAGCAGTTCAAAAATCGATTTGTTTAAAGTTATCGAAAATAAATTATAAAGGATAATAAATTTATTTTTTTCCACAATTTAATAATATTTATTATTTTGTTGTTATGTCTATTTAAAAGTTTATATTTATGACACTCGTTTGCGGCTCGTGTTTCAAACTTATGCCGCATGAGTAATGGCCATGTGCTTTATTAAATGTCTTCTTACGATATACTGATTTTATAATATGTAGTTATTTTAACAGTTTTTTTTGAAATTCCCTATCATCAGATTGTAGCAAACATGCAGAACAAAGTAAAATTAACAAACATTGTAAAGTTAGAACGCATGGCAGGTCGAAGGTTCCGGAATGGCAAGCAAAATATTTAATGGGGCTCAAACCGGAATGAGTCCCAAATGGGGTCTGAATCGAAACGCTCCGTATATCCAGATAATTGGACGGTAGCAAAGCTACGGATCAAGTCGGCTAGATAACTAACCCGACGCGGCGCGGCCGGGATGAAATCCGCCCCAGAATGTGATCGAACGGGAGGCGGGCTTCGAGCGCAGCTCCCATTCTAAAAACCGTTGCCTCCGGAAAATGGATCCAGTATATCTGGAGCGATGGTCCGAAAACAATCGACGATATAAAGGAGAGTTGAATTCGCCTTGTTGCCGATTCTCCAACAGCCACCCAATTAGACTGGATTTTGGAGAAAATTTTGTCCAGAAAATAGCATTGCGAATAAAAATAAATAAATACTAAACGTTGAGGAAATTATGATGGTGAGACTAAGCAATAAATCCGTACACTATACTATCACGATGAAGAAATTAACAGACGATACCAACGTTTGAACAATGAACATTTGTTAAGTGCAAAAATAAAGCTATGAGAGAACTGTTTAGGAGCTGGAAAGAGGACGATAGAATGAAGATAATTAGGAAAATGTTATGAATAATGAACACTAAATAAGCAGAATAAATATTGCCATAAATCGTATTACAGTCATCCCATAAATAGTCTTGGTCGTGTAGCAATCATATTTTGGTTCTAGCCAAAAATTGTTATAGAATATCTAGAGTAAAATAGATAGTTAGTAATAAAAATTAATAAAGTAGAGATGAATTAGAAAGAAAAACTTCAAATCGGCAACGTTGTCCGTTTCTCAGTCTGGCGAGGGAGCGAGAGCTCTGATGATGAGTTGTTCATTTGGCGAAGTGCGGGCATGGGCATATCGCAATGCGGCCGGGGTGCCGCCGGGCAATTCAAACGGCCATTATCACCTGAATTATGGCTCGGTGCCGACAGAGTTGTTCTAGCCGCCGACATTGGTTCATCATCAATCTACATGGATTACGGGGACGTCGGAGCGTAATGGCAAAGCCCGGTTATTGCCATCGCGGAATTAGCTAATAGTTTAAGATTTCATTAACTTTAATTCCTCGATGGGGCTCACCTACTTTCAGATAGAAGTGTCGGTCGGGTTACAAGGGGGCTTCGAGCTATAGAGTTTAATCGACCGAACGTTATTTTATCTCTTCACTACATGCATATACCGAAACGAAACAACAAGCCCAATTAACCCTACCTACCTACTATAATATTAAACATATCCTATTATACTTCCATTTCTGCATTGATTGTATTTAATGCTAAAATCTGGCAAAACAATTTACATCATTAGCACCAATCGTTTGATATCGCGACGAGCGTCCGAAAATTTCAAACCATCCAGAAACTTTAATAACTGCCCTTCATGAATAAAACAGTAATTCAAAAATTCAATGCATGTAAAACAGGCCGAGGCGGGAGCGACGGGCTCGCCCGATCTGCCCCCGTTCCCACCCCCGTTCCTCCGGCAACTCCGAGGAACCAACAAAGGAAATGTATTCATGGAGTAACACCGACGGAAAGTCGTTACCAAGACGCATTGTCGTTCGCCGGGGAAACTGCTCCCCAGAGCCATCTCAAGACATTTTCATTTTAGTTTTCCCGATATATACTTCGCCCAGAAGTAATATTCAACACATGGGGTATGGAAAGCGGGATGGGGTGTATGCATGTACGTGTGACCGTAATAAAAATTGGGTTAATTAACGATTGAATCAATCCTCTCTTAAAGTACATTTTTTTAACAAACTTTAACTTCAATAGAATAATTTCATTAGAATCCCTTTAGAAGATCTCTGCCAGAAGAGTATCCTAGTAGTAATCTCTCATGAGTATTATTGACGGAAATATTTGATTGACGAATCAATGGAACCCTCCTCAATCAGTTTATTACAACCAAAAGCGGTTATACCGATTTTACGATCTCCATAAAGAAATTCCGCCCTTTTTACAGTTCATCTCAACTTGTCATAATACGCAATAAAGGCAGCGCATGATCGTTCTTTACATACTCTTA